GTGTGTGTGTGTGAGTGTGTGTGTGTGTGTGTGTCTGAGTGTGTGTCTGAGTGTGTGTGTGTGTGTGTGTGTGTGTGTGTGTTTGTAGTAGGCCTCAACCTACACTGGGCTGTGCATGTTTCAATGTAGCTCAGACACATGTGTACGTACACACAGGCTAGAACATGGGACAGATGAAGAATTCCAGATTTTTGTGTGTGAAATGATACAAATGAATGCACTCTGTGGGGGAGTGTGTGTGTGTAAATGTGCTCCTGCGTGTGTGTGCAGTCTCAGGCCACATTTCAGACACTCAGCTGCTCTCACACTGAGCGTCGGCAAGAGAAACCAGCAGTTGGAATGGAAATCATCTTGAATATTCCAAAGTAACTAGGCAGGATAAAAAAGGCAGCAACAGGGGGTGAAAATGTATAAAACAGATATCAGATTTATTGTTTTACCCACTATAGAGTTTTGATATCAACACTAAATCAGACAACGTTTGGGCCCCAAAGCAGGCCGAGGGTCTTGAAAGCCCAGAACCCAAAGTGTGCCAGGAATGGCCTGGAAGCCGCAGGGACGATGAGGAGGAGGCACTGACCCAGTTGGCACACACTCATGTACATACTCCCCTTGTTATATATAGATATCCACGATCACACCGAATATTTGTACTGTGAAACAGCCCGCTGACCCTTCTGGTCCAAACAAATTCCCCAGATAAGAGGGGTCAGTGGCTGTGATTTACTTTGATGTTTTAAGCTAGAATACAGCGTTTAAAAACTGCAGAGAAGTTGACTCTGGTGCTGGATTTGATATTGTCTTTATATCCCTTTTCTGCATTTCTTCACTGTCTTAGGAATGTTTTGTCAGCTCTACACTTTGCTCGATGGCTCTGAGGATGGTCAGGATTCAGGGTTTGAATCCCTGCTGGTAGAGCAAGGTGCTCCAGCTGGAGGCACACATTCTGAATCTGCCTCGGCTCAGATTGTTTATGGATGAAATCATCTACTGAATAGCAGTTATATTCTTACATGTAGTGCACAAATGTGAGCACAATTCATTGTAAGCTATAGAGTACTTAAATCCTCATTTCAAGCTGTGCACAGATGTTAAGATGCTGTTAAGATGCTCCAGTTTCGAAGATTTTCATAACTGAAGTTGGAATGTTACAGATTGTGTCTGGCTTATGGTCTTATGAAACTGCTTCAAACGAGTCATAGTGTAAAACTGATTTTCAAAACTCCTGAGAACTTTATATCTGGAGGAACAAGAGTTTAAGAGGAGGATATAGAGCATACAAAATAAAAAACCATTACATTCTTTGCCAAAAATATAAAAACACCAAACACGTGTGCAGTTAGTGTGCGTTGGTCGGTAAAATGAGCCCTCTGGGTCACAGTGAAACCATTTCCACTGTGTTTGACATAGAACATCTGCCAGCATGCAGTTCACCTTACAGCTGACATTCTCAATGTGGGAATCGAACCACCAACCCTGGCAGGGTCCGAGCCAAAAAAGGAAGCCTATACAAGCCAGATCAAGTTATCTGTCTGTTACATTGCTTTAGCTTTGCTGTATAATATTCTGCTGGTGAGTCGATCTGTTTTTGTCTGTGGATATTGAACCTCGCTGCACAACAACAGTGATCATCCATCAGCTTATTGCACCGAATTAAATCATATTAGATTTAAACTTGCTGCCTCTCTCTCTCACACACACACAGACTGCTGCAAATATTTTATTTCCTCAGTGTGGTATTAATTATTTATTGGCAACCCATGCCACCTATTACAGTACCTTGGCAGTACATCCTACAACTGAAAGGGCTTTTATTAGCAAACTTAATATAGTCAGGACTACAAGTAGAGGAAGAGCACTGAGTGAGCTGGAGGTTTACAGCAGATCAGTTGCTCCAATAGGCACATGCTATAATAATAATTTAAAACTGGCATTGCTGTATGCTGTTGGTAAACTCATATGCATTTAATATCACTTATGGTAACGTTATTAAATTGTGTCATTTAGAACATACACAATGATTAGGAGTGTTATAACTGGATGTTTTAACATTAGAATGATATTTTCTATCAGTAGAGTTTATTAACGTGAAGTTAAAATTAAGCTAATTATGACTTTACTACATATATTACAGAGCGTCTCCTATACCAACTAATGGCGGCTTTTCTGTTCATGTGTTTCATGTGATTATTTTCACGAGATAAGCTAACGGACCGAAAAAAGGCGTCTTTTTGCGTTCACGCGCACGCACCCCTGAACCCCGGGTCTCTGCTGCCCGAGGATAGAGCCCGCGCGCCGGTCACTCAGGGGACAAGCGGAGTTCAAAGGGTCACGAGGACATTGTCCACTTTGTCTGGGTGAAGTGTGTGTGTATATGTGTGACGTGTCTGGCTGGCCGGCTCGAGGACAGGTCAACTTTCTCTCCCGCGGTCTGGCCATCAATTAGTAAACCCCGCCATCAGCAGCAGCTCGCGCCCCTTGTCACTTCCCCTCCGGACCCTCCGCGTGCGCTTACTTGGCCCCGGCCTCGGTTTCTCCTCGCGCGTCGTAAATATGTGCGTGCACGTTTGGAATAAGAGGGTTACAGGTTGGCGAGTGTTAATGCGCGGATGTAAGTAGGCCAGTAAATCATAGAATAAAACGGGTTCTACTCCTCAGAGTTCACTTTTGGAAGGACAATGTCACTGTTCGTTAATGTTTAATTAATGAATAAATCATTTATCAACCAACAACCTCCACCACAGAAAAAAAACAGCCTCTCTCCATACATTTCTTTACATTTTATTGAACATTTCTCATAGGTAGTATACGTAATTACTTGACAAAAACACTAACATAAACAAACAATGTAAAAATCCATAAAATATACACTTTCCTGAACGTTTTTAGGTAGTTTGGAGAATAACATCAGTAGGTTAACACCCCCTCCCACGCGCCCCCTCTATATTGGAAAAGTAAAACAGCTGGAAAGGTTAAATTACCCCCACCCCCACCCGCAATTACATTATTTCCACCGTACAAGGTGATTTTTTCCTTGCTTATTTCTATACAGTTTAAATATGAACACCATATGACATACATACACTTCTCAAATAGCTTTTCCTCCCCGCATTGTTGTGTGTATGATCGTGTTTGCACGTTTAGTTGAAGGTAATACACACAACACGTTTAGGAAATCAGAAGAAAAATAGTAATCGGGATGAAACAGCCCGAAGTCGAGTCCTAAAGCTTCAAAACAAGTGCCTGCAAGACAGGAAGTACATCTGACAAAAGTAAAACTAGGTAGAATAAGAAGTTAGGTGGTTTTCTTGGAATGCAACAAGAAATTGTGTCTAAAGACAGTCACCGTTGGCCGACAGGATACTTATTTAATGTATTTTTTAAATACACTTCGGATGCCATAGCCTGGCCCACTGTCCCCTCTCTCTTTTTTATGCCCTTGTTTGTCTTTTTTATTTCTTATTTTGTTCAGTTCTTTCCGCAGTAAACGGTCCCATCTCAAGACTCCAATGATTTCCTATTTTTTTATAGAGCACACAGAGATGCAAATTCAGCCTTTATACGCAGTTGGATAGCTTTTTTTGGTGGGTGGCGATATTAGAGGGGTTAAAATATGGTTCCACTTCTCCCTCTCACTTCTCTAGCACATGTTTCACCCCTGCTCCGGTAAAAAAATAAAAAATAAAATAAAATGTAGGCTACTTTTTCCCAGAGTTTTCACACCAGACGAAAGTCTGGACCAAGTTTGAGACGGGGAGGGGAAGGGATTAACCAGCATGTCTTTTCTTCCACCCTCCTCTTCCTCTTTTATGTGTCTCACATCAGTTTGTTTCTCCTCTTTCACTCCGTCCGTTTCTCCTCTTCCTCCGTGCCGTTCACCGTGGAGGAAGAGGAGGAGGAGGATGAGGAGGAAGAGGAGTTGATCAGCTTGTTCTCCTTCTTCCATTTCATCCTCCGGTTCTGAAACCAGATCTTGATCTGCCGCTCGGTGAGGCAGAGCGCGTGCGCGATCTCGATCCGCCGCCGCCGCGTGAGGTACCGGTTGAAGTGGAACTCCTTCTCCAGCTCGAGGGTCTGGTGGCGCGTGTACGTCTGCCGCCCGCGCTTTCTGTCGGCACCTGCACACACAAGGACGACATATTATCCATCCTACTGAGTAAGCCTGGCTGATCGTGAATATTCTAACAATGATTTCATGTTTTTACAAGGTGATAAAGAAATTGCAACCTCTTGGCTTACTGCATGAGTTAAAGAATACTATGTGAAATATACTTTCATTCATATTTTCTGTAGGTAAGTCAGTTTTCACAAGAACAAGAGAAAAATAGATGAAATGTAAGGGGTGATGAAAATATAAACTATAAGTCAGAATTTCGGAGTCACAACTTTGAGATAATCCTTAAAACATGTCAGACTTTTAAGTTTCAGTAAATGCAATTTGGATATCATAATTTTGAGTTTTGGCTTACTGTATTATTTTTGGCTTAAGGTTAAGTTTAATAATTTGATTCAAGATACGATTCCCCCTCTGTTCCTGCAAAACAAATTTAAAGAGTGAGAAAAAAATGGTACTTGTGTGTAAAGATGTAAAAATAATAAAATAAAAATTCTGATATAATGAGTTAAAAGTGTTAATCACTAGTTTAATATTATGAGATGGGAAAATAGAGGTTCCTCCGAGCATCTGCACAATGCAGCTGAATCAGATGCTTCTCAGCAGACTCCCATGGAAAAAATGGGACAGGAATGTGCAGCCTGTTTGAGTGTTCCAGTGCCCCATTTTCTCTTTTAAAAATGACTTTTAACTTAAAGGTATGAGATAGCAAGTATTAAGTATAGTAAACATCTAATTTAAGCATTTAGAAACCCACAATTGTGAAAAATAGTATTTTTAATTCTAGCATTCCTAACATTCCTATTTTGAATCCCCAAAAGCCCCAATTTCAATCCACTTCACTGATAAAGTTTTGACTTGCCTTCTGAAAGGAAGTTATACTTTGGAATACTGTGCCAACTGTAAAATCTAACAACATACAGTATATTAATAAAAGTAGTAAGCTAATTCTCTAAAACATTGAAGTCACTCATTCCCATGGATTAAACCCAACTCAAAAATAAATTGTCGAAATAATAACTTTTGAGTCTACTTAAATTTGGGCAGCATTTTAAGTATTGGTAATATAATTCTAGTTTGTTCCATTGACAAGTTGAAAGTTTATATGTAAGCCCAAAACCCCCAAAAATAATTTGTTTTTTGTCATACATCAGCTGTTTTGATAGGTAATGCAATAATTTGCTTTGGTATAAGGAAACTGAGTAAATTTAATTTAAGTGATAACTTGCATTAAAGGTAGTCTTTTACTTTATTCAGATAAACAAATAAATAAATTTTAAAAATGCATATGAGAATATATGTATATAATATATGTAAAATATTTACTAGTTTTGAGTTCAATTGACTGAATTAAATCAGTACAATGAACTTAATTTACTCAAATGACCTTAGCAATAAATAACTTGAGTTACTTGTACTGAAATCAAACATTTTTTCATGCTTAAATAGTTGGAGGTAATACATTTAAATTATTTAAACAATCGGTTACCTCAAAGAATTTGAGTTGGACTAACTCATCAGGTTTTACAGTGTATCAACAGTGAGCTGGGAGTTTATTTTGGATTCAGCAACTTAAAGCTGGCTGTACTATTAGAAATATTTTACTTAAAAAGTAAATTGTCTATAAAGGTTTACTTGTGCTATGATCTTACTTACTAATATTTGTTTTCATAAATCATATTTATATCATATATATTATTATAGTTTTATCACAAGCTATAATCCAAACATAATAGTACTCTAAATTTAGCAACATTACTAAACATTTAAAACTATTTTAGAAATGAAGCCTTTACTGTCTCAAACAAAAAGTAATACGTTTTGAAAACACATTGATTTAAAAAATGAATAAATGAATACTTTCAATCACATCTTTGTATCTTGGTGTTGTTAACTAGCCGCAATCCAAACCTGGTAGCCACTTGTTGCCACCTCCACTTCCTGGCAAACACATTTGACTTGTGGCTTTGTAAACACCGTAAAGCAGTTACTAAATGATGTGGTCGGGCTGTGGGTTCAGCTGCTGTCTGTCTGGGCCCCTGTTCAATATTTACCTCACAGTGTTTTAGCCTTAAAGCAGATTTTAGTCAACTACATAATTAAAAGGATGGAAAAGAGGGCAAAATCTAACTGACTGTGGCCACAGATGGAGCCTCCAGTAGGAGGATCAATAAAAGAATATGCTGAGAGTCAACAGACATGTTAGAGCATTGCTAATGTGATTTAAGAGAAAGGGAACAAAACAATCCACTGCTCCTCATGTGAGTTAGTGCTGAGTAAGACCACAGAAACCATGTTGACCTTCTGTCTTCACGAGGTCACACAGCGCCTGAAGGTTGAAGAGAAACTGGGTCACATTTTCACAGCTCAGAGGTCGTCTGCGGGCCACACAGACCTCGAAACTCTGCAGATTCCTTGCGAAAAAGAAAAAACTCTTCTGCTGAATATCTGGCTTTTAGATTAGTCTGGCAGAAGTGATGTTGGGAATTGAAGTTTGAGCTTCGGATGCTGCTGTGAAGTTTCTGAAATGTATTCTTTAAAATTAGAAACTGGCAACAACACAGACTCGGTTTTGGGGTTGTGCTGAATTTCTGCTGTGGAATCTGTAAATAGACTCACCCTGCAGGTCATCTGAGCAGCAATAAAAAGAAAGAGGCAGCCTGTGAAGAATCAGCCTGGGCTTTGTGACTGTTTGTAACAGCATTAGCTGGTGTTTAGTGAAGGCCCATAAATGTGTGATGGAAGATTTTCTGTGGAAATCCTCACAGGAGCGAACAGTAAGCAGACCAGAGGAGCAACGAGGGAACACGTTGGCTCATCTGATGTACAGCTTACAATCTAAATGTTTTGTTGTGTGTAATCATCAAAGGACTGTATGATGATTTTCCTCCACATCTTTGCAGCACAGATGCTTGATATAAATCTTTGGGACATAAATCCCCCGACTGTCCGTTTTCTGTAAATGAGCTGAAGAAAGGAAATGGATTTACTTTGATTTGATATTGATTTTCAAAGTCTACAAGCTCTCCATGCAGACACTGTCCTGGCTGTCATTTGACACTGCAGGCAAGAGCTTTTTTACAGTCATACAGTATACGAGGAGGGCTGGAGCTACTACTGAGGACACTGAGGTCATGTCCTCTGCCTTTCCTTCTGGGAATTTGGGGTTTCGGCAACCTCAGAGGAGTTTACATGCTACAATTCAATTCTTTACATGTGGTTTGTATTTGAAAGGATGATTCCAGTATTTCTCCATGAGAACGTAATTCCTGACAGTGTGGATATAGGTTTGGAACAGCATGTAGACCCTCGCGTTGAGAAATAACAGAAATATGTAATTTAATATAGCTTTAGTTAAATACATAAATGATTAAAAAAAATGGGGGAGGTGAAAGGGAGGTCTTGGGGTATTTCTAAAATCCTGCCTGTGGTCCTGTGTGTGAAAAAAAACTTTAAATGTACTTCACTTCTAACAATGTTTAGTGTATTTCTGTGTGTGGTGGTGCATTCAGACTGAAGGTCTCTGAATCAATTCACTGTGCAATAAACCTCAATAATAAACGCCAGAGGATGATAAAGCTTTTAATTTGAAAAGTTTTTTACTTGTTTTTTATGTTTTTTACTCTCTCTCTGTCTCTCTCTCTCTCGCTCTCTCTCTCTCACGCACACACACACACACACACATATATAGTTTATCAAATAATAAGAGACTGAGTAACAGGCACCTGGAGTCACTTGATGTCTTTTCTAGCTGCAGCTCTGCTTTTATTTTCTGAATGTCTCCATGTCACTTTGGAGTTATTTTCTGTTTTTTTCTTATTTATTTATTTATTTATTTATTGCCATACCAATTTATTTGACTAAACACTCCCACTTATTCCTGTGCTGCTCCATTCAATGACATTATATCAACTTTCTATTCCATGTACTTTTTATTTTAATTATTCTTTATTCATGTAAGTGAAAACATGTCTAAAAATCTTAGTTCATCTTAGTTCAGTATTGTTTGCTCTGCTTTGTTTTGTCCCTGACAATAAACACTGATTTAAAGGGAGAGTAAAGAGTAAAATTAAAAATAAAAAAATAATGAAACAAAATCACATTTGGGAGTAAATTAAATATAAAACTATTTTATCATATTGAAATACCTCCAAACAGCCCAGGTAATCCTCTGAGATAAGCGCAGTTACATTTCTTTCCCCATGATCATGTGTCTGCCTGCAACGTCCCCGCGCGTGTGCGTGTTCGTGTGTTTGTGCGCGCGCCACAGTTTATTGAAGGCAGCAGTCAGTATGTGTGGGTGACTGAGTGTCAGCAGCGTGGAAGTGTGTGTGATTAAGTATTTCTATGTGAGTATGTGTGTGTATGTGCTTATCTGTGGACCACTTCCTTTTTGCTGCAGAGCGCGGTGATAGTTTGTGCTGCGCGTGTATGTGTATGTGTGTGTGTGTGTGAGAGAGAGAGGGAGCGAGAGAAAGAGAGAGAGAAAGAGAGAAAGAGAATTCATCTCCATTGGTAATATTTTTCTGCTCTCGCGCTGTCGACGGTGATTTATTTGCGCTCCAACTCGAGATGGAATTCTCTGGCAATCAACAACAAGAAGGGACTGTATTGTGCTCTTTCTCTCTCACACAAACACACACAAACACACACACACACACAAACACACACAGACTGGGATAGATAGAAAATACATGTATAAAACAATAGGTGTTTATGTGAGAGCTCGAGCGCCTCTTTAATAAAGCGATCGTGTTGTTGTTCTCATTCGCCTGTGTTAACGGGAGAATCCGGGAACCTTTCCTCCAATCATCCTCTGAGCCTTGACTGGAATCGGATCTAAATTTAAAATTCTCATAAGAATTCATTATAACGGCTGGACTAGGTTCCACCCAACCACAGCCTCCCTACAACACACACACACACACACACACACACACACACACAGATAGAGCTTTCCATAGTGTGTGTTTTTATTTCCATAATTTTCTATGTTCCTATATTCCAAAATCACGTTATTCTCATTTAACTTATAATAAATAATAAATAAATATATAATGTTTTATAAAAATCCGTTGCCTTCTCTACAGAAAGAACGAATCTGTTTGTCTTTATGAGCCTGGAGCCAAATAAGATCATTTTTGATTTCCTTTTTTTTATCACTCTTGCTCTCCAAATGAGAATCACTTACAAAAAAACACACACAAAAAAAACGGCACTCTTCTATCACACACACACTACACGGGGCAGTGGGACAGAAGGACGTACAGGGACGGAAATTAATGAGGAAGCCTGCGGCGCCGGAGAAACTGACCAGTAGCTGCCAAAGAGGCTCCTGCTAATGAGGAGGGACCTGATTTCTCCCAAAAATAATTTCACGGTAAGCTTGACTGAAGCTCTGTGTGTGTGCGTGTGTGCGTGCGTGTTGTGTGTGTGTGTGTGTGTGGTGGTAAGTGGTAATCGTTTAGTTGAAAAAAAGGTTACCTTATTATCTTTAATGATGGTCCTGTTTTCCACATGACCCAGATTTACGCACATAAATACTTATAAAATATAAAAGCGCACGTAAAAATACACGCACGCGCATGGCATCCACTCAGTTGCGCACTAATGGACACGCTTTTATGCCTCCTGTGTGGTTGCTGTTTTTTGAGAAGGACGTCTCTTTTACGCACGAACACTGACCATATTTCCCGTTTTTTACGCGCCACCATTTAGCATTTTAACGCAAACATAAAAATGCTCTTTGTGCTCTTTGTGTGTTTGTGTTTGTTGTGGTTCGAGGCTCGCGAGGCCCCACATCCATTCAGCATCCAGCCCGTTGCTGTCGCACAATACCGCTTTTACAATCGGGGGAAAGGGCAGGCATTCAGAGATCAAACCCATCTGCTAATTTATAGTGTTTATAGTATTAGCGGATTGTGGTGACAGTACAATAGCACAATGGGCTTTCAGTGGGCCAGCTAGTACTGACAGAGAAACACAAGACTATCAGGTAGGAGAGGCTGAGCTGGGCCGAGCCAAGCACTTAACGGTAAGAGGAAAAGACTTTCTCTGGAGGTTTTGGAGGTTTTCTTCACTTTCAAACACTTTGGAATAATACTGCAGCCACCCCTGCGCTCCACTGTCCCCCTTTTAAACACAATACCACCTAATGAATATTCACCAAGTCTTAAATTATGGTTTTATGGAGGTCGCAGAGCCATAAAAGATCTGCAAAGAGAGAGAGAGAGGTTGTAAAAAAAAGTGACAGAGAGAAAGAGACAGGCAGGCATAGTTCAGCTACCGGCAGTGGCCGCTGCGCAACCGGGCCAACAGTTTAAAGAGCGTTTAACGTAATTAACATGCACACACACCTCTCTCTCCCCCTTACACACACACACACACACACACACACACACACACCATCACCCATCCATGTAATCATCCCCTCTTTTCCCAACTCTTCTTAGTAACCCCACACCCCCCCCTCTCTCTCTCTCTTTCTCTCCAACTTACCTGTGAGGCCTCGCAAATTATCTAATCACCTCTCACAACATCTCCATCCACCCTCCTCCTCCTCCTCCTCTCTCTCCTCACCTGTGCTTCTCATCCAGGGGTAAATCCTCAGCCCTTTCTCGTTTAACTGCCGCTGCTGCTGCTCCGGGCTACTCTGCCTCCTGCAGGCCGGCTCAGGGAACCTGTCGGTCAGTGAGCACAGCTGAGGCCGACCGGGGAACGGCTCCGCGGCGCATCCCTGCAAAGAGGAGCACAGCTGCCCGGCTCCCGGCGCGCTGTATGCCCCTCTTGTGAGCACTTCGGCAGGGTTGAAAGGATGCGCGCTGGGCTGAGTACTCCCGCTGCTCCGGTTCAATCCCGAAAGAGACAAACAGAACGAGGAGGAAGAAGAGGTGGAGGGAAAGGAGGAGGAGGAAGGAGAAGAAGAGGGAGGGAAAGGGAGCCCTCCGCTGCCTCTCCCACTGGAGACATGGAGGTGATATCCGCTGGACACGAGGGCGCACGAAGAAGACACGTCAGGAGCAAGAGAGGAAGAAGAAGACTGGAAGGGAGAAGTTGGAGAGTCTGTGAAGAGCAGAGCGGAGCAGCTCGCAGCGGCTTGTTGGTATTTAGAAAACAGCGCGTTGGCGAAGTCGAGCGAACTCATAATTTGGCCGCCGGTGATTTGTAGGCCCGGGGCGCTTTAGTGTCGACTTTTTACGAGGCACCGTGAATTATTGGCGAGGTATTACTGTCTAGATTTACACCAAAAAAAAAGTCACCCCACCCCACTCTCCTCCTCCCCTCCCTCCCATTGCCTCGCGGACCACGTGACCTCAGGTCCATGTGATGTCAAGATGCCCAATGGCCGACGGGGTTTCCCTCCGGATGCAATATTGTAATGGAAGAAATTAGCTGCAACACACAGGGAGTGACCGCTGCAACACACACGCACACACACGCACACAGCATTCAATAATAGAATCAATACGCAGCAGCTCGGAACGTGTCCACTAATCACCGAGCGCACGTTGAGCTGGAAAACAAAACGGCTGAGGCTGACAAACATCCAGCTCAAACTTAAATCTTTGCTGTCCTGCTTTACCGGGTTAAGTCGTGCGCAAAAAAGCGGAAAACACCATTAGATGTGATATTGATTAGACTTGGAATGGGATGGCTGTAGGCACGTGCGTAAAGTTGCCGAGAGGACTAAAAAGAGGAGATGGATTTCCCCTGTTTTCCGCGAACGTCGTCTTATTCCAACTCGCACTTTGTAGAGACCACACGTGCAGAAGAGAGGGTCCCACACAGCAGAACAAAACGGGCCGTTGTTTGCCGCTGCTGGTTGCTCTACTGCAGGCAGAGTAATAGGTGGAGACGTTTAAACAACATTGCAGGAGTGAGGGACGTTTATGGAGGCAGTCAGACGTGTCACTTTGAAAATCATTCTGCAATAACGCTCACAATGAAAGATTGCAGCTGCTGCGGCCACAAGAGGCCGCGTTCCACTTTAATTCAACTAATAATCAAAACACGAAGCATTACAGGTTAATATTTCTTAGCTCTGTGCCATGGCTCATGAAATATTGCAGCTCTAAGCTAGGCAAACTAGAAACCTGAGGTTTATCCATTATACTACAAGAAAAGACGAAGCACATTTTACGGTCACTGATGCTATGAGTGCGGGTGTGTTTCCACTCTGCAGCTCATTCAAAACAAATCACCTGCGCCTTTGAGTTCAGGTCTGATTAGTTACGGTCCCTGGCACTGGATCCGGCAGAGGAAACTCACCTGGCCTGCAGGTGCTCGGCTCCGTGCTCATGGTTCCGTACCCCTGACTTTGACCTCTTCCTGCCCCGCAGCACTGAGTTCTTCGAGATAAAATCTCTGCGCTCACTGTAATGTTTAACAGGTCAAAGAGGAGTTATGCGTGCGTAAAAACCCAGTAATTTGTTTTTCTAACACAAGGGATTTGAGACAATTAAAGGATTCGAAAGTAAAGTTTTGTTTGATCACACTGAGAGGAACTGCATGATCCTTTACAAGTGGTAAACTCCACTTAGCTGCTTTACTTTCTTTTAAATGCATTTTTTTGTTTGTGAGCACAGCTTAGAGGTATCATGCGTAAAGCCTCTCGTCCTCACAGTGCCATAAAGTCTTTTACCTTTACAAAAGGGCATGTGTCATGTCCCTGTTGTTAACTCATACACTGGAACAGAGGAGCGTCGACTATTCCGTGCATAACATCACATGCCTGCTCCACTATAATCACAAATTAGTTCACATCCCACTGAGCAGATGTGATTTAAATTATTATTATTTTTTTCCCTCTCACATAGAGCAGGTTCATACACTGTACACAACAAACACAGTGATCAATAAGCAGCAGAGAATTCCAACAGAACGAGGGAAAAGCTTTGGGTTTGAAGATGATTGAAAGTTGGACTACCAACCACCTTCCTGGTCATTTGATAAAATGCCAGTTTGTGAGAATTTGCAACACTAAAGTACAAACAAGGGAAGGAACTGCCTAACCTTTTGGCCTTACCTTTTATAATCCCCACAATTATTATATAATGCACACAAGGTATAAACTGAAGCTTTGTTTATTAGTTTTTTTATATTATTATTTTTTTATGTGGCCCATGTCAGATTCCAGTGTGAACAGGTCGCCCCAAGTGACCCGCATGATGAACTTAGATCTAGAGTGACATAAAAGTCACATGAATTCTGATATGACTGTTCACACTGGACACATTGCAAAAAACAGACTCGTAGCGGATTTGAACCTCATATCAAAGTGTCTTAAATAAGAATTGATAAGATCAGATTCCATGTAATTTGTGACGAGGAAGAAAAAACAGATCTGAGTCTGCAGTGTGAACTTAACTAGGATTACTAGTTTTAGAGTCATATAATGAAACTGCCATGTAGTGTACCATGGGACTGTGTCGGGGTATCAGTTAGGGCACAACAGCAATTCTTTGGGACTTTATTCCGACCATATGCAGATTCACACATAGTTTAATTTAGCATATTCTTATATTTCATATGTCAGACACTGAATGCTTGTTTCATAAAGGCTGGTGGACCATGATGGATATCCCAAACAAAGTATATGTTTATAAACCAAACCATCAAGTGTCAATTGATAGAATCTTTTGGACAACTCAAAGTGGCACTCTAACAACTGTACCCATATAAGTTCGGTTTGCTGGTATTATAACCCTGATGAGATAAAAAAGTTTTTGGAACCTTTGGAGCCCACACTAACTACCCACACACATTGGGCTTTACCGCTTTGATTTTCTGTCCCTGCAGTACTCTTTATGAAAGTGCGAAACATCCTATATAGCCCTTTAACTTGAGCAGGGCTGTCAAAGACGTCCATTAATACTCGCTTTCTTATATTTGTTTGTTAAAACCTTAATATAGCGCCAAAAAGAGCCGCAACAGCATTGTGCAACCGAAGTGCACTATGACGCACTCTTAACTTTAAAACCGGATGTCAGTTCGTCAAAAGGACTCCGGACTCAGTGAGGAATGCACATTTAATCCGCTGCCCATTTGGTTATCTTCAGCTCGGTGTATGTGGAGCCTGCGGACTCACACCCTAACTGCACACTCCCCAGCTGTGTTTGACTTCCTATCTGGAGCGCCCCACGTGAGACAAAGGTTATTTTCCCAGTTAGTGCCTGGAAACCTTTTATTTAGCAGATATTTGTTGGTTTGATGATGATTCCCCATAGCCTCTGAAGCTCGGAGTCCAGTGTACAAAGATATATATGCAGGAGTAAATATGAATGCTCAGTGTGTTTGATCTTCCCATATGGAAACAATCCGAGCTCAAGTCGTCATCGTGATGATGATGGAAGGCAGTGTAATGGTGAATATAGAGGCCTGTAATAATGTAAGTGGAGGTGGAGGACCAGGCCATAAATAACGCGATGTTTGGATAGGTTGTGGATTGTGTGTGTGTGGG